TATCCTCGATGAGTTTTACGGACATACAACAGTTTTGTTTAAGCAAATCACGAATCTTTTCTATACGGTTTCGATCATTCGACTGGCTGATGACCTCCTGTTGCTCTTACAATCTTATCATCTTTCAGCGATTCCATCCCGAAATTTTAAAAACCGCTCGTAAACTGATGCGATAATGCTTTGTCCTCATAAGCCTTTCTTCTTTAACAAAGATAGTACAGCCTCATTTATGTAGATAATACCACTAATACCGCACGAAGAAAGTTCGGAAACTTTTCGGACAGACTATGTATTCGCAATATTACTTATGCGACGATATAAAAACAATAAAACGATACGTTTGTAACAACGTATTATTTTTATTTTTCTATTTTTTTTTTTTAGTTAAATAGATTATAACACAAAATATTGTTGTTGTTGTTTTTTTTTAGTGGATTTGCTACAGGGATTTATACTACAAATTCTCCGGAAGCGTGCCAATATTGCGCTGACCACAGTCAGGCAAATATAATAGTCGTTGAAGATGAGAAACAGTTGGGGAAAATTTTGCAAATAAAACACAATTTGCCGCATTTGAAAGCAATTGTTCAATATGACGGCGTACCTACCGAGAAGGATGTTTTAAGTGTAAATTAATTACTATGCTTGCCTAATGTCTTTTTATTTAGTACATATGTACAAGTTATTATTATTTATTGTTTTTTCAGTGGAACGATTTATTGAACATCGGTAAGGCAGAATCAGAAGATAAATTACTATCTGTGTTAAAGACGATTGGGGTAAATGAATGTTGCATATTAGTGTATACGGTATGTTAAATTTATCACACGGTTAATTAAAACGCGACTGCCATGGTGATTAATATATTAATTTCTTAATTTGCAATCGTCTTTACAGTCGGGGACAGTCGGAAATCCAAAAGCCGTAATGTTAAGCCATGATAATATATTGCACGACGTACGGGCATTAATACCAGCGCTAGAAATTAAAGAAAAGGCAGAGGTTTTAATTAGCTATTTGCCATTATCTCATGTTGCAGCACAGGTAAGTTTCAAATAGAATAATATATTTTAGATATCTTAAGTGTAAAAATATTTCTCAATGACATTACTATGAATGCAAATTCTCACGTATATTAATTGCATATAAATACCTATTATAATTAAAAAAATTGGTTTATAATCATGTTTTTATTAATTCCAGCTAATTGATATCATAGCAAACATTATGCTAGCGACTACAGTATACTTTGCGGACCCGGGCGCGTTAAAGGGTACTTTATTAAATACGTTAATTGCGGTGCAGCCGACTTTATTCCTAGGGGTGCCCAGAGTGTGGGAAAAGATATACGAAAAGATGCAAGAAAAAGCGCGCAGTAACGGCCCAATAAAAACCTGGATTGCTAAGTGGGCAAAAGCCCAAGGTCTCCTTTATCACACGAATAAAATTAATGGCGTAGATTATAAACATTGGGGCTACATCTTTGCGAAATGGCTTGTTTTCGACAAAGTCAAGGCAGCATTGGGCTTAAGCAAATGCCATATATTCGCTTCCGCAGCAGCGCCCATAAGTTCCGACATTAAAAAATATTTCCTGAGTTTAGACATACCTCTGTTAGAAGCGTATGGAATGTCTGAAAGTGGTGGGGCTCATACGGTGTACGACTATAAGGAATTCGGGTAAATTACACCTACCTTTACTTCTTTGTATTGAATTTACATTAAAGATGTTTGCTTTCAAAATATATTGGTTAAATATCATTGTTAATTCTGATTTAGCATGGATGGTGTAGGAAGGCCTTTACCTGGACTATATACAAAATTAGACAATATAGATGAGAATGGTGAGGGAGAGGTTTGTATGGGTGGACGACATGTGTTTATGGGTTACTTAAATGCACCTGAGAAAACTGCAGAAGCCAAAGATAAAAATGGCTGGTTACACAGCGGTGATCTTGGCAAATTCGATTCAAAAGGAATTTTGTCAATTACTGGTCAGCATTTGTTTTTTACGCCTATTAACACTTATTATTATATAATAATAGACATTTGATAAAAATAATCACGTACATATGTACATGTATATATATCAGCCAATATAATACAGATTTTTTATGCATTCACAGGTAGAATAAAAGAGCTTATAATTACGAGTGGAGGAGAAAATGTGGCACCGTACAACATAGAGCAATCGATATTATCGGAATTACCATATTTAAGTAATGTTATGGTGATTGGAGATAAAAGGAAATATTTAACAGCCCTCGTCACGCTTAAGGTGCGATGAAAAGCAAAACAAAATGCAAAGTTAAACTTTTAAATATTCAAGTAATTTTTTTTTTCCAGAGTAATATGGATGAAGAAACTGGTGCACCACTAGATACGTTGAATCCAGACGTATCAAAATGGGCGAAGTCGATTGGTAGTAGTGCCAAAACAGTTACGGAAGTCATAAGTACTCGTGACACAGCCGTAAGTTGAATATATAAAAGAGATTCGTAATTAATAATAAATTATTTTACATTGCACAAATAGAAAAAACATTTTTTTTTTCTTAAGCTGGATCTAATTAAATCAAGCAAATGAGCGCGAATAAGCAACTTGCTTTAATAAATGCAAACGACAAACGACATCGCCACGTACAGTACCGTGGCATTCGTCGTTATTCGTTTGGTCTGAATCTTTAAATATTACAAAATGTTTCTTACTCTTCTAGATCTATGAAGAAATCGACAAGGCAATTAAGAGAGCAAATAAGCAAGCTGTAAGTAATGCTCAAAAAGTACAAAAATTCGAAATCCTTCCTCATGATTTTTCGATCCCAACCGGCGAATTGGGACCCACATTAAAGCTTAAAAAGAACGTAGTTCAGCAGATGTACGCTGACTTGATAAATAAAATGTATGAATGAATTTACTATACATTATACTGATATAATAGGGGGTGTTTATTACTAAAGAATCTCCATACACTATAGTTTTGTATGTGTACCGATATCTTGACATGCAGAACAAATTTTATAAGCAAGACGTAATTTGCATTTTTTTAATGCATTCTTTCAATTCGGATGGTTAAAGAAAATAAATCAAAACTAGATTAAGTTTCTCATAGATACTTATACAGATATTTTGTGATACTTTTGGCATACAAATGAGGGTTATATATATTACATATCTTGTACTATAAGAGCACAAGAGTAATCATAATAATAACATATGTATAAGAAGTTACTAGCATATTTGTTTTTATAAGATCATTTTGTTATTATAAATATATTTTAATTTCGTAATTATATATAAATATCACACAGATTACATCTTATATATTATTTCTTGGATATTATGGATTTAAGAAACTTCAAAAATTACAATGTTATCGAAAATTAAGTAGATTTCTATTTGTCACAACAAAAATCGCTATTTTTTTGTATCAAAATATTGTTTGCCACATGTATTCTATATGTAACAAACAGCAATATTCTAGTAATCTTCTAGAAAATATTTTCATTTGTCTTTCACCGCTAATTTTTTTGTGTGTACCATAGTCAAATTCTACAAACTTTACAAACAAATACTATGATTGGCTTTAATATGAATAGATACTACATAAAAATTTTCCTTCTAAATTTCACCAACAATTCAGATAAATTCTGTCTCCGTCATTTAGATTGGTTAAGCAAATTTATGCGATCACAGTATTTGCTAATCATTTATCTACTTCGGTTAATTTTTTGCAATAAAAAAATTTTGGATGTACTTGCAAGATCATTTTTTTGAGTGTCATACATAATTATACGCGCGCATGCACAAGAAAAAGATATAATCCATGTGATATTCGATATATATATAATTGCATAATTGAAAGATAAATATATAAAATTTTATTTCGTGTTATTGTAAATATATTTTAATATTTTGACAGAAAAGTCTGAAAAATTAAAAAAATTATATTTTTATATCTACATATAATTTTCTTTGCACAATAAATACAACTATTGTTCCTAATTTGTACACTTTTAAATTTTGATATCAATAAAAATGTTTAAAGAATTTTTGACAATTTTTTTAGTTATACAATACGTCATAATGGGAAAGTGATGTAATTGTAATGGTAAGGTAAGAATAAATGACAGAAAAGAGATTTTATAGTTGCAATATATTACTAAATGTAGTTTACAATAAGCAAAACTGTAGTTACGTTTAAAATTATTATGTTCATACTACAGATTTTTATAGTAAATACAGCTTTTCATAAGAAAATAGTCTTACTAAGAGCGCATCACAGCAACTTTGGAAATGCAGATCTGTATATCTTCTTATTCTCAATCTTACCATGCACACACAAGTGAATTATATTCAATTTACCGTGATTATACATCCAGGATAAGTTCTCCTGTTTGTTACATATTTATTATTATTACATTTACTTATCTCATTTTCAATAAATTTTTACATATGTGCATGTAGAATGCATATTTATTGCTGGCTAACAATATGACCTGAATATCTGTGCAGTTTTTTTTTTATTTTTAATTGTTTAATTGCAAAAATCAGATAAAATTACTTTCCAAGATAAAAATATCCAAATGGCAGACAATAAAGAAGAACTTAACGATATGTCAAGCTGATAGAGACACTTAGTTACTTTCATATATTATAAAACTTATATAGCACTGTGGCACATACGTATAGATCACTAGTTTTAATAATATTACAGATGCTGTTTCGAGAATAAGCAGCTAAAAATCAGATGGTTTCATAAAGACATGAGAAAATTTTATGGTACTGTGCTAAATTGTTTCGTGGAAGAGCTTCAAAATATTTTCAAGCGTAAAATTATATGAGACTCCAATTATTTATGACTGTACCATATTACTCCACCATCCAAACATAAGGCTAATTAAGAAAATGTAATCTTTCAAAATGATAGAGCAAGAGGATTTTATGATGTTGTCGATGTATTGAATTTTTGTTGTTGGATAATTGATGTTTTTCGCTGTGGTACTGTTTCTGGTGTTGGTATAGCGTCCCCTGTTGGCAGAACACCAGCTGGCTTTGGCTTAGCTGTGGACTTTTGCTTTGCCATTTGATAATCCCCAGAATCAAAATATTTTTGCTGAAAACGTTGAGATTGTTATTCGTTTGAAAAAAAACCGAAAGATTAAAAAAAAAGGCACAATCGTCTTTATAAGATACTCTACACGACAAAAATTAGCAGATTGACATTTACCCCCTTGGCTAGCCTTTTCTGCAGAAACGCAGAATGACCGCCAAACGGCCGACCACCTGGGAACTTTGCTTCGAGCTTTGCTTTTAATTTTTCTTCTTCCATTTTTTCTATAGCGTTCGACGATAGCTATAACAAAATCTTTAATGAAGTATATACGGTTTGTATACACGTGTCGAGTCTGTTTATAAACGAACAATGTTCCGTGTAAATAAAATTTTTGCAAAAGATTGTTTCTACTTAGGCATTTCTTAAGTCTTCTAAAATTCATATTAATATGTACAACACACTATATATTTATTTATGTTGCCGTACAAATGCTTAGCATTTATTGCACAAGCTACAAATAGACATAGCTCTCCAAATGTTTACGTATAATGCAGTGCAACATGGCATGTTGTTATTCCAGCATAATTAATCACTCACAAATGAAACAATGTGCAAGAGCTTTCTAATAAAATAAAACTGTTGCTGCTCTCTGTGATGAACGTTGCGATAACTCATCCGAGAGTGACCTCCGCAGCCTCTCTTGGCGCGTTAATTCACACAACACGCTAATTAATAATTATAAACTAATTCCATCCTTTTGGATTTAATCAATGATCTATGACGGAAATAAATCTCGCAACTTGCCTCTGCTGTCGGGCTCTGGTCGCTCGTCTGATCGTCACTCATCCTCGCGAGGTTTTGCAACTCCTAGCACTCTCTCTCTCGTCAGCGATCGCTCGTCGTCCAACCCAGTCCAACCGTAGTTACTACTCTCCGAATACTAATTTCGACACTCACGTATATAACGTACATAAGCTAAGTGATCGCGGCGCAATAACGGCAGCGTCTCTCAATCGTGCCCACCGCGGACGAGGCTCGTCCCTCCGCCGTGTCTTCCAGGCCGACAAGGTGGACGCGCGCACCGGGCGAGACCGACGATTGTCAACGAGAGTGTTTTCATACGCGAACGGCGGAAACGGCGACGGCGTCAACTCACATGCGGGGGGCCATATGTTCCCTGGGTGACCGTTACAGACGTCCGCTCCGCGCGCGGCGCGGCCGGTTTCCAACGCGCGATTCCCATAGGGTGACTCCGATGAATCGATCGGCGCGATTAGTTCAAACTTATAATCCGGCAGAATTTTACTTAAATCGCGGTATCCAAAATTCCTATAATTCACATTAGTTTGAAAGCTGTCGGACCTTCTTTGTTCTTCACGAAGGTAGAAAAAGGAAGGTGAATTAAATGTAAATCGCTAATGAAATAGACAGGACCGACAAGTCGCGTCAAACCTAATTCTATGCCCATCGATTCGATCTATATCGTTTTTAATTCCATATATCTTTTCTTTTTGTGTTAAAAAAAATTCAAAATTTGTTATTCATGTAGCAAGATGATTCTTTCTTTTTTTTTTTGAGCGAATAAAATAAAATAATACATACAAGTAATTACTTGGTGCAAGTAAATCATTGATTGACAATAAGTTAATCGGAGTCACCCGGAGAATAGAAAATGCGACATGCGACGCGACCCGCAGTTCGGAGCACGAGACACCCACGGAGTTTCTCATCTTCAGGATCTTTGCCAATCCGCGACAACAGCGCCAGCTGATCTTTTGACTCGATCTCCTCCAGTGCTCTCCGCCTCGGCTGTGTTCAAAGCGGACGGTGGCTCTTGATGGACGGTAACTTGTCGCGCATTCACATGGTACCTACTTGCTGCGAGGCGACACGACGAAGCGTTCCGGGATACTGACGGAGAGAGCGGCACGCCATGAACGCGTTAATTCACACGAAAACGATGATCGCCGGCCACGGTGGAGTCATAGCTCGACGTACGTCTCATCGTGCATTACTTCACGTCCCGTTATAGATCAGCGCGATTTTATACGCGATAACTTGTCCTCGTGTAGAGATAATTTTTCCCCATTACATTTATACGACGATAGAATATTACACGCGCCACCGTAGAATTAATAATGCGTCTCATTTGGAATGTCAACGCGTCTCCTCGAATTTCTTTGTCCAACATTCCATTATAATATAATCACGTTTACATTGAAAAGAAAAACGTGGCTGATCACAGGTTATGTTCAAGTACTTCAAGTTTTTTTTTTACAAATTCAATTTTTATAAATTTACATCTCTCGAAGAGCATATTTACCTTTCCTATTGCTTCGTCTTTCGATTATACGCGAATTTATTGCTAACAGCTGTACTTAACAATTATTTTAATTCTTTTTTCAATTAGTAGGAAAAGCAAAATGTTTTATTACTGTTAAAAATAACTTCTAATTTACGCTGGGATTAGATGAGCTAAATGATTTTGCCCCGTATTTGCCTCAATTATTAAATAATTAAAAACTTTTCTGTATTTCAGGGTACTCCCCGTTTAAATTATGGTACAACGCAAATCATACAATGGGCGGCATAGCTCTAATTTATACAGATTTGAGAGATCGAAGAAGATTATTGCTGGAACCTACACCGCCAACGATGTATATTAATGATAAAAGCATAGCGTGTCTACAAATACGTACTTTTTATGTAACTCCAAGTTGGAGTAGCCAAGAGCCGTCGTCTAAGATCGAAGAAACGGTGAAGAACATTAAAGAGGAGAAAGAGCTTAAAAGTAAGATGGAAACCGGTGCTGTGACAGAGTCTGAGCTAGCAAAGAAAGCTGTCGCTAAAGTGACAATGTGGCAAAAAATTAAGGGCGAGATATTGCATTACTATCACGGGTTTCGATTATTGGGACTCGATATGAAAGTGTCAGCAAAATTAATATGGAGAATTTTGCATGGGAACGTGCTCAGCAGAAGGGAGCATCGTTTGGTATGTTAAGAAAATTTTGTCACATGTCCATATATTAATGTTAAGATATTAATCAATCGTTTATTTTGACAGTTAATAAAAACGACCGGAGATATGTTCAGATTGATTCCATTCTCCGTTTTCATTATCGTTCCATTTATGGAGTTTCTGTTGCCAGTGGTAATTAAATTATTCCCTGGCATGCTACCTTCTACTTTCCAAACAGCAACTGAAAAGGAAGATAAACTTAAGCAGGCCTTGAAGGTATGAAAATATCAGAATTTAAATTTACTGAAATCTATAGAGACTAATTAAGGAGTAAATAAAAAGTTTTCATAAAAAGTATTACATATATACATAAACAAAATTTGGCAAATGTATATGAATTTAATACATAAAATATTATGGTAAGCTTCATACTTCGGCAAAAGCTTTATTAAACATTTTTTGCAAACAGGTCAAGATAGAAATGGCGAAATTTTTACAAAAAACATTGGATGAAATGGCATTGCAATCGTCAGATCACAAATCTGATAAGGCTAAAGAGTTCGCTGAATTTTTCTACAAAGTACGGACAACTGGCACCGTTGCAACCAATGAAGAAATCATGAAATTTAGCAAAGTTTTCGAGGATGAAATTACCCTAGATTCTCTTTCGCGGCCACAACTAATTGCTTTGTGCCGCGTATTGGATGTGCAAACACTTGGAACTACCAATTTCTTACGGTTTCTGCTTAGGATGAGACTCCGAAGTCTTACTGCAGATGATAAAGTACGTATTCAACGAAGTACACACTTCTTAATCTCTTTTATGAAATTCTTTCTCATTAAAATATTAAATATTCCTTTTTTCGGTTTTAATAGCTAATTGAGAAAGAAGGTGTCGATACTCTAACTAGAGCCGAATTGCAACAAGCTTGCAGGGCACGTGGTATGCGTGCTTATGGATTACCAGAGAGCAGATTAAGGGAACAATTGTCACAGTGGTTGGATTTGAGTTTAATTAAAAAGGTCTCACCCTCTTTATTACTGTTATCACGAGCGCTTATGATACCAGAGACGATACCTGTGTCAGACAAGCTAAAGGCGACTATTTCGGCCTTGCCTGATGCAGTCGTAGCACGTACAAAGGGCGCTATTGGAGAGAAAGAGGGTAAAGTGGACCATAAGACCAATATCGAGATCATAAAAATGGAAGAACGTAAAATCGAAGAAGAGAGAAAGGAAAAGAAAGAAGCCGAACCACAGCCAACTGTTTTGGAATCCAGTACTAAAGAAGATGAAATTACTACTACAGATGTCGAAGTTTTGGAACAAGCTCTGGATTCAGTTGGCAAAGTTAGTGCTATTACTAAAACACACTAATTATTCTTCAACATTTATTACAAAATTTTCAATATTACATGATCTTATTTTTAGGATAAAAATTTGGCTGTAGAGAAAGAGGAAATCAAGGAACTTAAAGAAGAAATGGCGGAATATCAAGAAGATGTTAAGGAATTGTATCAAATTAAAGCAGAGGCGAAAGGGGAAATCGATATAGAAAACATTAAAGTATCGAAAGGTGCTAATAGACTATTCAAGAAAGTAAACAAAATGATCTCGAAAATGGACGCCGTTCTGTTGGAGCTCGAGCAATCTGAGAAAAAAGTTAAACAAAGAATGAAGTCTTTAGGTCCTGATGAGAACGATGAGAAAGATGTTGAAGAATTAGTTAAAATAGATGAGCTGGTTGGAGCCATTAAACAAATCCAAAATGTACCCGATGAACATCGTTTAAAACGCATAGCAGAAATTTTAGGGAAAATTGATGACGATCAAGATGGTGCAATAAAAATAGAAGATGTATTAAAGGTACAGGGCAGACTATAAATTTTTATTAATTATGCGCGATAAGCATGATTACACAATTATATCTATTAATGTAACTTTAATATAATATTACTTATATTAATTACATGATATAATGTTTACAGGTTGTAGAATTAATAGGTAAGGAAGATGTTAAATTAAGTAAAGAACAAGTGGATGAACTGATAGAGTTAATGGATAAAGAAGAAGTATTAGAAGTAGAGGAACAAATACAAAAATCGTTGGAAAAGGATTGCAAGACATCCCAGACAGATGAGAACATAAAAGCTACGCATAAATCTACAGTTCCAGCCACGCCGGTGACAATCGAGCCGGGATTTGGAAAAGAGGAGTTAGCAGATGATGCTGTCATAGAATCCAAAACCTATGGGGATCCTGAAGAGGATAAACAGAAATCAACTGCCGTTCTTAAAAGTAATTCCAAAGCCGATGAGATCAAAAATCCTCCAATTACATCAGGTGTTTCACCAGCGAAAAAGACAGAAGGTTCTAAACAACTGTGATTAGCGCACAATGAAATATAAATTAGCATATGTAATTATCAACAATATTTTTAATGAAAGAAGAATTTATAAGTTTAATAACGGATCTTCGTCTGTGTGTATCTCACGTATTTTCTTTAGAAAAATTTTCAATTTTCGTAAATAGAGTGGATAATACAATGAGAAAGAGAGAGAGAGAGCTAAATCTTTTATTGACACAAGGCACAAAGATGATTTCAATTGGCCATCATGACATAAGTATTTATCTTGTATATAAAAAACGTATATTAAATATATGTAATATATCAGTCGTTTATAATATTTGAGTAATATCGAGTAATATTGATTTTTAACTTCATACTGCATTGTATGCACACACAAAAACCCGAAGTTTCCCGTTGAAGACTGTGATGCATTTAACAGCATCATTTATTGTTCTCTTTTATTCATCGTGATGCACTTGTGTTGATCACATAAATGCATTAATTATTCTGTAATTAATTGTCGATGTTGTGTGTCATAATTTTAAAAGGAACGAGTAGAATATCGTTAGCCTAAACATTGACAACGAATTACAGATATTTAGTTTTTTTTTTTTTTAATTACAATACAGTTTAATTTCCGTAAGTCCAGAGGGTAAATCATTCCAACTATTTCAATGCCGTTGTACACTTCTCGATATGTTGAATATATGCCTGTTATAATTCAAAATAATAGTCTTCAATTGTATTATCTTGTAACTTAAACACTGATATTACAAAATAATTGGTTGCTCAAAATACAAAGCAAAATAGATGTACATACAATAATTTATAATGTACGTACAGTAATTTATAAGTATTTATTTTCATTTGCGAAAAATACAAGAAAGCAAACTTAGCTATTCAATACAAAACTGAATATTATTTGTGCTTTGTACTAATAGAGCGTTAAATTTGTAAAAGAAATTTTGTTTACAAGATAATTCTATTACAAGATGTTATATCGATTTCGGAGCCCTGTATGTATATAAGGAAAAGGGAAATATTTATTACATATTTACGTTACTCTATAATGTTAATTGGACGAAGACCTCTACGATGTATTATAAAGATATGAATTCAGAAAGAATATTCAGAATGATCTATTTCTTTACTTCTGCGCATGAAAGTCTTAATATGTATGTAAGAATACATATGTATTATTTTTTTAAATTTTTATAGGATGCTCTTTCAAAAGAAATAAAATTGTAAAATTAAGTCCTAAAAAATGGGGTTTTCATAAAATTTTATATTGCTGCATCATTCTACTTTATTTGTTCTATTTCCTGCATTTCGTTGCTTCTTTGCATTTGCTGTAAAAATAATTTAAAAAAAAAAGATATTTTTAAATTTTAATATATGTATAATTAAATATTATGACATCGTATTCCTATGAAAATTTATTTTATAACTATGTCATTTTACATTTAACATAAAATGATAGGAAGTATTTATAAAAAATTATAATTTATTAATATTTCTAAAAATATATAAGAAATATGCACATATGTAAAGTAGTATATTGCACAATTTGAATTATTTAACATAAAATGATAGGAAGTATTTATAAAAAATTATAATTTATTAATATTTCTAAAAATATATAAGAAATATGCACATATGTAAAGTAGTATATTGCACAATTTGAATTATTTTAAATTATTTCAACATGAATTTTGGATAAAATATTTTCATACAAATACAATAGATTCGTTATGTAATGATTAATCATCGAATATATTTATCAATTATATATTTTTTGTTTATATTTATTGGCTTTTACCAATTAAATATTATTTTTTACGGTGCTATGTTGCATGGAAAATTATGTTTAGACCTAATTTCCTTAACAGCATTTTAACGAATGCAACGAAATAACTAGTTACAACAAAAGTTGTTTTATGATAAATTTATTTTACTTTCCATTACTTTTTCAATAAGAATACTTGAATAATAAATTAATCATTTTTATCATATATAAAAAGTAAAATTTCTGTCAATCTTTTAATTAGATTTGTATTTACTGTTTGCCAATATTAACACAAGTGATTCACTTAAACTTCAGCATTGAATATATGTATAATATATGTAACTAAATCATTTAATCATTATTTGTCAAAATAAGAGAGAGAATATAAAAGATATTTAATGTCGTGTTTTAATAATATTAGGATTTAATAAATATATCTTAAAATATTTGGGATTGGTTAATCACAAAATAATTTGGATATATTAGGTGTGCAAATTAATTCAGTGTCTTTTTTCATGAAAGTCAAAGTTTATTCACAAAAAATGAAAGTTTAATATTTGAAATAATATTTATTATTTTCTATAACTTTATTCCATCTATCGGACAACTGATAAATATCCTCGCGGAAAAAATTGGCTTGGTTTTCGAGATGAAGTCAATTTTCAAAATTTTTTCAGAGTTCTTCCACTGTTTTAAAATGTGTGTCAGCTAGATAATGTTGAAACAATCGAAATAGATAATAATTCGATCTAGCTAGATCTAATAAACAAGCTGCCTAAAGGAGAATTTCTCAGTCCAAAGCATAGATAACATTTCGTCCCTTTTACAACATAATCGCATGTTTCCTAATTCTGGGGCCAGTATACGGTCTCTTTTGCTCTAATTCATCGCTCAAATTGATAAATTGCTATTAGTAACGCTCTGTTGTAAGTCTGATTAGGATCCGGCAACTCATAACACATCCTTTTGTATCCCACTAGATACAGCAAAATCTTTTTGGGCGCCAATAAAAAATTTTGGGCTTAGAGCCGATGTTGATGGTGACCTATTCATGATTTTCGGCATTTAGAGTTGATATGTAATATCCATTTATCCGTAACAATTTTGTGCAAAAAATCGTTTCTTTTAAACCGGATCAGCAAAGATATGGTCGTGTCGTGTGAATCTTTGCTTTTTGTTGTCCGAACTGAGATCACGAATGAGAATCTACTTATCCTCCTTTTGAATCTCTCTGATATATGTGCATGGGTATGCATTAATAGATAACTTCAAGTTACAATGCCAAGCTCTTTAAGTTTGAGCGGAGTTTTCATTCAATAGTTGCTCAAGTTTTTTTGTATTCAAATTTTTTTAGACCTGGACTTAATAGATTAAAATCTCCACTTCAAACCTGATATCTAATTTTTGCACATTTTATGAGTCATAGTGCCTTCACTCAGAGCAGAACGAATCATTTCCTTGACTTCTTTTTTAGTAGCAGTCTTTTTTAATTGAAATGCGAAAAAAAAATACAATACCTCAAATACTGCTTTTCGACACTGTGTTCAGTACTGTTTCGTGAGGTTTTGTCTGATTCACCAAAGTATGGCTGCAATCTGAATGTTCACAGCGTGAATCATTTCTCTCTTGGAATCATTTCAGTCTTAATTGTTACAAACAAGGACAAATAATACGAGTACTGTGAGCGTGAATCAGACCACGGTCTAAATTGTATTTTGGAAAGTTAGAAACCACTTGTAAAGAGTGTAAAAAAGCGGGAAGTATTTAATTTTAAAATAAAGTTATAAGATATCGAATATGCGCTGAATTAATTTCCATACACCTAATAAATGAATGGATAAATAATATTCATTAATAAATCACATCGATATTACATAAAAAGGCGTTTAATGTATGACAAAATAGCAGATCAAACATAGAATTGCAAAGATAGATATAGTTGTGTAGATAATGTGTGGTGTATATATATCTGAATATCTGACTCTAAATGCTGTCATAAAATTCTTCTAAAGAATCTTAAAGTTTGATTGACCTCGTTACATTAACAGTGAACACTTAAAAGGCACAATCAACGTCAACAGTACAAAAGTATCAAAATTAAATAGAAAGATATTTCACTTTTCTTTTATAAGAAAACTACTATAACATACGCATTTTGCGAACTTTAATAATCATTCTGTAATACAATTTTCAAGTCACTTTTCTCTTCGGTCAAAGCTGCATTAAAATTAGTTATTTTATCTGCATAAATGCGCCTCATAGAGGTAGAAGTTTTTAAACAAGTGACTTAATTATGTGAATTAATTATACAATCAGTCTCTAATTACAGTCTAATATTTTAAACATAAAAATTCATTTAATTTTTACATGATGGCTTGATATTTCAGATGTGCGAGAGTAACGACAAAAGCTAAATGCTACTGCAAAATAAGCTGCTGTATTCTTTTACTACAAAAATTTGAAATTATAAATCAAATTTTTAAATCAAAACCTACCTTGGCTTTATGCTGAGATTTATGCTACAATTTATCCTTAAAATCTAAATTTATTATATCTGCACGCAACATACGTTCACGTAATAAAATCTAATATATAACATTGTATACAACAAAGAGAAATAATTATTGATGTGTTACAACTGTGTTATAAAATTCACTCACACGTTCGAGATATCAAACTGTTACATTATAAAATGCTGTGATAAAAATAACTATATAAAATAAAACAGCAGATATATTAAAACTATGTGAAACACATATATATGTATATATGTATATAAACAAATTGCTTACAAATTACAAGTTTTCATTACTTTACAGTGTTATGACTACTTTAACATATCTGAATTTTATTCACTATATTACCAATAACCAAAATATGCAAAAGAACATTGAATCCCACTCGGATGTCTATAAATTTTGATAATTTTTTAACACATTAAAGAGTGCTGAACTCATTAGGTTACAAATAAATAATGCAAAAGACAACTAAGAACGTAATTTTTTATTTCAACATGAATGTAATTACATTATTTGCACAATCGGAAAAACAAAACAATTAATCTTCATAAAACATGTAAACACCGTTTATATTTTAAACTCAACTGTATTAACATTATTAACGTTTCAGCACTCTAAAGATTTTACAAATAATCTTACAAACATTTTCGTAATATTGTGCTATTATAAATTCTTTCTAAAAAAAAGGCACGACATCGATAATCTTGTCGCTTTTCCGGAATGCCGATTCGTTGTCTCACAGCGCTTACTTGAGCGGCTCATTGCATATTTTGAGTTGTATTAAGATTGATAGAATGTATAGCAAATATAGTAAAAGTGAAAAATGCTAAATAGTGCGCGCGAAGCGCGCGTTTGTAATGCTAATATTATAAATTATTTTTTTGTTTTTTAATTCAAATTATATCTTATATGAATGTTATATAATAATATAAACTAAAGAGTAATAAAATATATTGCTGTTAACATTTTTTTTAATTATTTCATAGAAAACAGGTATAATGTATGACAATTCTTGGAATATATATATATCAGTTAATATAAATATTTTAGAATAAATTGTGTGTGTGTGTATATATATATATAGATATCTTAAGTTTAGATATATTCTGTATGTAATATAGTGAACAGTGAAGATTAAGAGCGTCATTTCACTGTAAAGTATCAGAAAACTTTCGTTTTTATATAAATACAATTCTCTTACGCTTAGCTTTCAATTATAGGAGTTGAACCTTCCATAACGTAAGCTACACATTGTTTTATGTTTGTTATAGCAAGATGCAGCACTTTGTTTCCTTATTACGTTCACTCCCATCTCCTTGGTTTTCCTGGGCCTTGCGAGCAGCTATTGCTCTCATTAAATCAAAGAACACCTGCAACGCAGAATAAATATGTCTTTATTTATTTCTTTGTGAAAACTACTTTTTTGAAACACACATTGATGATTGAAAATTATTATATACATTAATATTGAATTACGAAAGAAAGGAAACAATGAATGTATCACAAGTAATTAATATGCAAATATTATTTAAAAAAGGTTTGCTTATCACATAAAGCAAACTTTATCTCCTTCTCTTAAAACAGTTTTTGTTTATTTGTATTTCTTTATACAGACATATTTTATTGAAATATAAATAAAAAGAGATTATATTCACAGAACCTAGTTTTCAAAATTTTAAAAATATAAAAAATTAAAATTTTGTGCAAATTAACAAGGGAACATTTCTTTATTGCAACCCACAGCAATATATGTTTCAATTAAAAGTAAAATATTTAATATGTTTTCCTCTTTTTTCATAACTATTAATTATTTATAATACAAAAAATATAGTTAACTTATACAACATGTAACAGAATATTGTAACACAATGTAATTAAAAAAAAAAGTATACATGCTTTGCGCAAGCTGTGATAAGCTTTACAGGTGTGTTTTGTTTCACATTTATTTTGAGATATGCAATAAAATTTTTTTTAATAATTAACATCTATTTAAGCTGCGATCGGAAATATCTATCATTTTCAACTTGTTCAGCGAACGTTAAACAAGAATAAAAATGATACATGGGAGCACTCGAGTGATGTCAGCAGCCCTACTATTTTTCCGAAAGATCACGCGATTTAAACATTTTCATTGCATATCTAAGATCTATTGAGCATCAGAAAATGCATTAGAGTCAAATATCTCTATTGACATTCTCTATGTATTTTACATGTATACTAAAATTGCCAAGACAGAAAATGCCACAGTTCTATTATCTTCTCAAAACATAAAATAAAATATGGTGCAAGAAAAAAAACGGCAAACCTATAGAATAATGCACTTCTTTTTCTTCCTCTTGGTACGGTCTTTACCTCGACCATTGCTTGCTGACTTATCTTCAATTTTGCGTGACCTTATTTCACGCATCAAGTCGAAAAATACCTGCAAATGTGCAACGGATGCTGTCTCAAAGCTTTAAGGCATATAAAATGTGCATAATAAAATAAACACGTCTCTTTCATATTTGTAAGAGAAGAGAATGAGAATTGTGCGCATGTAAGCAAATAGCACAATACATGGTGATATAACAATGTATATAAATATACACAGACTGCAGAATTAAGCCTATTTAAAAATGCATATTTCGTGCAATCAATTCATATGCGGAACATTACATTGAGGGTGAAAGTGAAAGCAACAAGAAATATACGTGAATGCATCTACTATTTTTGATTTAATTGCATTGGTATGTATGTATATATGTATGCTCTTGATGAAATGTTCTGCAGTGTGAAACATTTAATTTAATATTACTACTATAAAGCCTAATAAAAAAAAATTAATTCCACAAAAGTTTATTTTAAAAATAAAATATAGAGAAAAAATCAAAATCCAAAATTAATATCAATTACTTTTTTTATAAAGATAACAATATAAGAAAAAAATATATTTATAAAATATTTATCATAAATTTTATATGTATAGCTTATCAATAAAACTAAACAAAAATCATACTTAATCAGTATTTTACCTTGTCTACATTTTCTTTTGTTTTAGCGCTTGTTTCCACATAAGGAACACCCCACTGTTGAGATCTCGCCTGAGCTTCGGCTAGACTAACCTTCCTTTTTTCTTGTAAATCACTTTTATTCCCCACTAATAAAAATGGAATGTTCTCATCATTTTTTACCCTGAGAATTTGTTCCCTGTAAAAAAGAAAACAGATTTTTTTCTATTTTTTTCTATGTAAAACAATACATTATGAGAATCTCATATATTAAAAGTTTTTGTGAGAAAGGTAAATATAGTCTGGAGCATTATATAGAGAAATGTCAAAAAGTAAAGAATGGTTTGTAGACTTAGGAGAGGATAAGGAAAGAATAGTAGACAGATTATTGGAGAAGATAAAGGCCAGGTTTTAGTGAAACTATGGAAGGAAAAGGAAAAGGAAATAAAAAGAAAAGAAAAAGGAAGGGATAGAAATAAGAAAAAAACGAAAATAAGATAAAAATAAAATGAGAACGATAGAAGGAAAGTCAAGATAGATGACAGGGCGGTAAATAAAAAAAGTTAAATAAAAACTAAAGATAGAAGTAAATATAAATAGGTATTGTAAAAAATAAAAAGGTAGGAAGTAAAGAAATATAAATAATATAAAATGTAAACATATAAAGAGATAGAAATGTAATATGTTAAAGTAGAATGTGAGTAGGAGAGATAGAGAAGAGTAGAAAATAGAGATAGGAAAAGGTATCGGAGGATGAGTGAGGAGAATATTTTTGTAAATAGAGTCCCCTTCTTGGCTAATTTATGTAATGCTGAAGTGAATAAATTTTTATCTATATATTAAAATTTTCTTCAATAACTTTATGTCGCAAGTGATTAATTTTATCAAATTTTACTGACCTAAATTCCTGTGTAGCTTGGAAGCTATCATCTTCTGTTATAGAAAATACACAGAGAAATCCTTCTCCACTACGAAAGTAATTGTCTCGAATCGCTGCATAATCTTCTTGTCCTGCAGTGTCCAAGATATCTATTTGTACCTCTTCTCCATCCAATACAACTTTCTTTCTGTAGGAGTCTGCTTTTGTGGGTTCATAATCTTCAACAAACTAATTTCAATATTACAATTAAAATTATGGAAAATAAATTTTCTATAATATAATAATGCTAATAAAAATAAAAATAAAGTATTATCAATAGAATACTTGAAATGATAAAAATTACATGTTTTTGTGATTAAGTTAACAATAGCAAGCATTATTTATTTTTAAACCAAAAACCTGTTTTATTTTAAAACTATTTTGTTTTTTCAATTTACCTCGTCATACATGAATTGTAACGTCAGAGCAGATTTTCCAACACCTCCACTTCCAACCATTATGACCTTATGCATCGCTTGAGTAGCTCCTGGTTTCTTCGACATTTTTGAGATAATTACCTTCAATTAAGATAAAGTGATCATTAAATGTCCATCATATCATAAAAGTATTTTAGAAATAGAATTTTTTATAATATTCAGTGCTTTCAATATTCAAAATTTTCCAAACATAAATATTGTATAATGCTCATATTTATTTATTATTGTAACATAATATTCATATTATTTTTATAAATCTTTTTGTCATAAATCTATACATATATTCCCGTTACATCATAACAATAAGAGCAATAAAATTATAATTGTACACCCTTATACGTCTTCTGCACTTCTTCAAAATAGGGGTTTCTTTCTGATGGTTATCTTAATTAAAGCAGAGCAAAAATAACAATGGCAGGATGTGAGAATTACGTTGTCAGCGTGAGAAATCTAAGACTAAGTAAGATAAAGAGTATGGTATTCATATACATTATACTAAGAATACATACACATGTATTCTTAGTACAATGTATTTTATAGTAACATGTATTTTATATACCATACAAATATATATGGCATATTCTTATATATAATTAAGACAGATAATTTTTATAATATCAAGATATATCATAAAAATAAAAAACTTCTGGTATTTGTTTATATTGTATACTTTTACAAATATCATATTATACTTTGTCAATATTTATCAATTATTTTGAATTGATATTATATTCAATATTTATATAAAAGAAAAATAATCAAGACATCATGACTACGAGACACAAATTTAAATTCAAGAAATGTAGATTTATTTTTAATATTATAGCAAATAATGCCGCAAAAAAAAGAAAGAGAGAAATATTTCAGAAGATGTTAAGACTGTCAAATGGCAAAAGTGGAGCAGCATCAACCAGAGAAGAGCAGGAAACTTACTTAATCAAATTAAATTCGCTCGCCCACCACTGAATACACGTTACTATTCAAGATTCACCGGGATTTTCGCCCACGTGAAAGAGAATCAAACGGGAAATAAGAAGACGCCCGTAAGAAAACAAGCAACGAAACAAGAAGAGGGCACTTTTCGTAGGCGCGGCGTACCTACGCTCGTATATATTCGCTCGTATTGTGACCGCGCTTCACTCGCTCCTCCTCCTGTTTTCTTTCCCTTATCTCACTCGCGCGGGGGCACCGACATACGGACTGAGAATACGTTATAAATAATTGCGACGAGACACGTAAGAAAGCACAGCGGGGGGCTACGCGCCGCGCCCGAAACGATCGCGTTTTATCGAGCGGCGCCGGCCGGGCCGGGGAGGCGAGACCGGATCGGCCGGAGGCTCTGTCGCGGAAGCGTAACATGAGTAAACCCGTGAGGAAAGGCGGTGCCGCGCGCTATCCTCCGGGCGAGGATGCCGCGAGAGCCGGACGTCGCGCTGCGTCGTCGTGGAAGAAAATCGCGCTCCGGACGTGTCTCGCGCGAGAGCCAAAAAGCCGCGCCCGGGCCCACCCTCGAGCGAATGCGCGCGATAACGAAGGCGCTCGCCGCCTTCCTTCGGATAAATACCTCTGAAACTTGGCGCAAATTGGGAGTGCCCCTCTGGCTCGACCGTTCCGTGCCGTGATATCTCTCTCTCCTCGTAGCCGTCACACGCGTTGGTTTACTTTCACGCAACCGAATAGTTCCGACAGTTGAGCGCCGCGCGGCGTCTCGATCGCCGTATCGTCCCATATGTACATACATACATACCTCGATCGCCGTATCTCTCTTTGATATATATATTCGAGTGAACATAAACGAAATTCCGTCTCATGCATGAATCATGCCCACGATGCATTACTATTTTATTCTTGTTGTTCACTGAAATTATTAAACGTGGATAAAATGATGTCACACGCATCATGCACAAAATGGAACAATTCAATGTAAACACACTAATTAAGTGACAAAAACAGAAAAACAAATAAGTAAAATAATGGCTGTGTTCCAAAAAAACTCACTGCCAGTGCTGGAAATCTATGTGCACGTAAAGGTAAACACTATAGATTTTCAATACTGGCAATGACAATTTTGAAGCACATTCAAGTGATACGACGCGAAATTCAAATTGTCGCGGCGATAAGTGACATCGATTTCTTATTGGATGTTGGAAAATGTGTACGCGCATGCGTACATTTACATCGTGGACGAATAAAAATATGTATAGCTCGCAAAGTAATTAACCTCGACGTATGTATTTCGTTGAAATTTTTAAGCAACATTTTCATTAATGAGAAATGATTGTTTCAGCGGTGTAACTCGAATTTCTTTTCATCTAAACACCGGCATGATCGCATCGCCGAGTACTGATACCGATAAAGAGGTTGAAGATCCTGTCGAGCGGATGCTAAAAAAAACCGGTTGCATGGAATTGCACTATCAAGTTCAAGTACGTTCATTTACTGGGCTAGCAACATTGATTGATTTTAATTAAAATCCAATTGTCTAAGTGTAGTTTCAATTTTAGAAGAAAAAATAAAACTATAAGTTTAACTTTAAGCAAGTTCTAATGAATTGTTATAAAGTGAATGCTTTGATTACATTATTTTAATAATTTAATTTAATTAATAATTAATCTATGTAGTTTTACTTGATTGACAATTATTATTTTCAGGAATGCATAGCTGAGCATCAAGATTGGAGAAAATGTCAGAATGAAGTAAAAAAGTTTAAGGAATGCATGGCCAAACATACAAAACAGCAAGAGTCGAGATTTCAATAGTTGTTTGATTGTAAAAGATTATAAAAGGATGAGGCTGATAAGATATATCAAATCTTTCTTATCTCCTGCTTGGAATGGAGAGAATTGTAAGATGGTAATAGTAGTTCGGTCGGATTTGCCCATGGGAAGAGGTAAAACTGCTGCTCAGTGTGCTCACGCCGCTCTAGAATGCTGTCGCATGACCTTCAATAATGAGAAGAAACGATTAATGTTTGAAACCTGGTTACGATGCGGACAGCCTAAAATTGTTGTTAAAATACCAAACGAAGAAGAGCTATTGACCTTAGCGGATAAAGCTGAACGTGCTGGTTTAATTACTGCCATAATAAAAGATGCTGGTAGAACTCAACTGAAGCCTGGTACAGTCACAGTTGTTGGTATAGGACCTGGATCCAATGAAATTATCGATAGCCTTACGTCAAGATTAAGATTGTTATAATTTCATGTGTTATATAACTTTGTACAATTTAAAAGAATTTAAAAGAAATATTTGTTAAAGATCAAGTTTTTTTAATATCAAAATACTTCATTCAATCTAAAATGAATAATTTCGTAATATTATCAAAAGAATAACATTATGAAGAGGATTATTATAATTTTCTAAAATAAAATTTTAAGAAAAAGATTTATCTCTGTATAAGATAAAAAAATTTCAAAATGTTTAAAAGCTATATCAACATAAATTATAAGTTCCTTAAATTGTCTGTGTAGCATTGTATAGTGTACATAGAGAGAGAAGAGAATATATATATGTAATAATAAAATAAAAATTGATTTTTAACTATAATTTAAATTGTATTTCTTAATCAAAATGTTACTGAACAGGTCTAAATGCAAAAATTACAAAAAAATTTCAGGTTAGGTATATAAAACAATTATTATTATCAAGTTGTACAATACATTATCTATCCTGGCAAAAAGATTAATTAAATAAAGTATCTTTCTTGCTTGGTTGGACTGTAATGACGTGATATAACAATTTCATTATACTAAAATATTCGCTCTAATGCTACTTCCTTTATATATCTATAAAAAGCATCTCAAAACATGTTTGGAGACACGCATACTTTTGGAAATAAATTATACGTATGTATACATATTAGACACTGATATTCACAGAAGCATAATTTATATATAACATGTCTAAATGTGCTGTTTAAAAAAGTATACTTAAAATTCTAAATATAATTTCAACATAGATAATACTATAAGGAAATAAAAAATAGATTATATTAAATTGCTTTCATTTTCGTGGATATTAGAAATATAAATGTATCATAAAGATTTTACCGATTTCATAAGATATACACATATTTACTGAGCATTAAAATATTCTCAAGAGTATATACACAATCAATATTATCTAAGTTATTACAAGATTGAGCAATAATAGTACGACATAATAGGAAAACACGCGCTTACAGCTAGTGTAAACTCGCATATCAGATCCTGTTTCAATTTTTTTTTTAAGTTTTTATATTTATTCAACGATGTGCAACTGACATGTGAATTCAATTGAATAAAATCGGAAAAATGTTATATACTTTCACTTTCTATGTTGTGTACGTGATCATTATTTATAATATACATTGTCTACGTAATAACAAACTGAATTAATGATAAGTTTAAGATTGCACACTTTGAAAGATTAAATCTTTTTATAAAATTAAGAACAAGATATGAAAATGTTTTCATACAAAACGTATCATAATATACATTGTCTATCTAATAACAAACAGATTTAATATAGTTTAGATTGCGAATAGTTAAAATTGCACACTTTAAAAGATTAAATCTTCTAAAATTAAGAACAAGATACAAAAATGTTTTCATACAAAATGTACCAAAAATACTGTTCTTTTTAATTATAAGTTTTTTTTATCCAATTTTTAAATATTTTTTTGCTGTTGAAGATCGTCAATTAATGTATTCTATTAATTTCTAACTCTGTATTTTCTAATTAACTTTCAAATTCTCTATTAGAATTTGATAGAAATTAACTTTTTTTTTATCGCTAATTGTTCAAAAGTTATTGGTGTTCTAATGAGAATTCATCAAAAAATGTATAATTAAAAAAATATCTGATAATTTTGGAACATTCTGTATTCTTGCTAATTATAAGTCTGCTAAGTATTAAATCAGTATGACTTTATATGTGCAGTTATCACAAACCTAATTTTTTAAACCACTAACTAGAATCAAATTGTGTGTTATGAAAGTTATATAAGTATTTTATTTTCACCATTCTTATTCAAGCGCGCATTGTAATATTCTTTGTGTGGAGTAGACGTGGAGTAATTACAAGATGTAATGGCGAATTAAATGATAGCATCAAAAATGTATATACTTTAAGAAATTTTCTTCACATATACACTACATGAAGGTTTTTTAAAGATATTTTTTTATAAAATCAAAATGTATAAAATGATTTGAAATAAACAAAAACAGGATTATTTTAAATTCGAAACATATGAATATGATATGAGTAAGTAAAATCGAGTTCGAAAAATAAAAATTTTAAAAATTATATATATTTATATACATAATTTTTATATCTTAGCATATAATTATACGAGTCCCTTGTTGTAATATTAGTAATACGTAAGAATATGTACCAATGATATCAAGATGCATGTTATTCTGTGCGAATGGATAAATATTTAATATTTGTATGATTTGTATGACTTGTACATATAAAATTACTGATATAATTAATCTCTTATCGATCCATTTCCACTTATTATTGTTGAATGTTGATATAATTATTGCTGATAAAATTAAAAATTATATTTATTCATAGTATATACTCATATCATATTCATTTACTTCCGTTGCATATCGTCTGTTAATTTCATATCACACGATTGAATTTGACAATTGATATATCCCTAATTATAGAATGTGCACAATATTTCAGTTCAGTAGCACATATCAGAGTATTATCAATTCTATGATCGACCGTTTGGCAAATGTACATCACATCACTTGTAATTAAAAATGTCGTTAATTCAATATTATACTTCCAGTGGACGAATATTAAGTAATTATTTTACCAAGTTCCGGCGGCTCTACATAATTATTTAATACATGCGGCGCTTCGTTGAATTCATCGAGCTCATCACCATTATCCGCGCCTTGCGCGAGTAAAAAATATTGTTCGCTTCTGGTGGGCCATAATAAATGAGCCATTACACAATATGCGAAACAGTCTGCTGAGTACGTTATACCTATAATTGACAATGCGTGAAATACGAAACATGATTGAAAAAATTTATTTTAACACACGTTTTTTTACAAACTTTACTCACCTAATAACAGCTTAAACCTCCACAATGCGCTTATTTGAAGCGCTATAAGTGCTATAATGGGTAAATATATGAACCAAACTAATGACGATGCACCAAAGTGAAGGAGAAAGTTTAACTTTTGAGTATTATGCTCGTATGTCATGGTGTTTCGGAGTTCATATAGAAACCATATCATTATGGCACTTCGGAATAACAATATAAACCATCCTGGCCAAGTTTGATATTCATCTATATCTTCGATAATGTCAACTTCTGTCTAAAAATAAAAAAAAAGAAATTGTACGGTCATAAAATGAATTTACACTTGCTGCAAATTGAAACGTGTATAAATAATAGGAAGAGTATAGTTACCATATTCCACACATATAATAAGATGTGAACAACCCCATAACAAAACCATATCGCAAACACCAGTGGTTTCCATGTTAATTCCATTCTTGTTACCGCCCATCCTTTGGCAAGTAGGAGCAACAATAACATAAAGGACGTCTAGAAATAAAAGTAATTTAATATCAAAATTGCATGCAAAATAACACCAAAAAGTCGCTACTGAATTTTTACATTTTCAGATGGATTGAAACATCAATTATTCATATAAATTCATATTTTCAAAACATTAAGAATAAATTATACGTTTTTTAGAACTTAAAAAATATAAAAAAATGGCATTATATAGACTACATTACTTGTGAATTTAATATGATACTGCTGATAGTAATATCTGATATTTACAAGACTTTTTCCTTACCCGTGATAGAATATCAAAAATATCACCTGCAACTTCTAATTGCTCATAGCCTACTCCGTCTAGTGCAAATTTCAACACGTGTATCAAGATTAAACATACTGCTACAAATTCTAATAATAAACTAGCAGTGAACAATCTTGTTACAGGATGCTTTTGCAATCTTACTGCATACAACTGCAGTGGCACCAGTATGATGTAACACACGAAAAACAGTAAGTACAGTTCGATGGTATTTTGTCTGTCGTACGAGAACTGATAAGTCAAACTGTTTAGGCCACTGACGTTCGGATTGCCATTTACCAGCCAGATGTCGTACTCCAACTCGTCGTGCTTGCTATAGTACTCCCACTGGCAGGTCGTCTTGTTTCTATAGCAAGCGACCAAACTCATGTACCAGAATCGTGGTTGCCAGAAGTCTTGTATAACGTACGTAAACTGATGTCCCTTGACGATATTCCATATAGAATCCTCGTCTGGGCACAATTTGTCTCGAGGACACGGAACTCGCCTTCAAGATGCAAAGTTAAGATGTTAACGTTAGTTCGATCTTCGTGTGGTAAATCGAAATATATGTGTGCGTGTGTGCGCGCGCGCGCGCGCGTGTGTGTGTGTGTGTGTGTGTGTGTGTGTGTGTGTGTGTGCGTGCGCGTGTGTGTGTGTGTGTGTGTGTGTCAAGGGTAAATAAAAACATACCTGAGGAAGTCTTGGCCCTCCTCGTTGCAGTCCGGATCGTAGGAACTCTTCTTCAGCGTGTTGAACATGTAGGCGCACGCGGCGCTCTTGTCCGTCAGCGTGCGATTGCCGTAATACTCGAGGAAGTGGCCGCGGTCGAGTATCGCCAGGGTGATCGGCACGTCGAAGTCCGCTCGCGCGGTCACGTTGCCGAATATGTAGCCGTACGAGTCCTTCTGCCGGTGACGGTCGGTCTTCTGGAAGCCGAACTTGATGAGGAACCGGAAGAACTCCCGCGTGTCGAAGGTGCCGGTGATGTGGGTGGAGTGCGCGTAGTCCGGCCGCAGCGACAGGCAGAGCAGCAGCGCGCAGAGAACGCGCACCAGCCGCCGACCGGTAGTCATTTTCCAGCAGCGCGGCTCACGCGGCATCGTCCGCTGATCCCGTCGTCGCGCGCGATCGCGCGAGTCGCGTCTCGCCTCGCTCTGCAGCAGCCGCGCTGCGCCTTGTGCAGCCGCGAGTCGTCAGGAGCCGCCGCCGTCGTCGTCGGGCACCCTCAGCATCTTCCTGCGCGATATCGCACGCAGCTGTTGCCGCACGGCGGAATGCGACGCAGACGCTTCCCCACACCACTCGCGGCCTTCATCGAGACACGACGGTACCCTCCCGAGAGCATCTCCGTTCCAGCATCGTCGCTGCGCTACGTTGCCGTGACGTTGCTGTGTCGCCGCCGGCGATATCCGCGAGAGACACCACTCTCGTCGTACTCGGTGATCGTCGCCGATCGTCGGTCCGTCCTGCACGCAGAGAAAGAGAAAGGGAGAGAGTCGTTAATGGCACGCCGTGTGTACTCTCCCTCGGCACTTTGAACTCGCCTTTTCCTATCGATTTTCCCCACCCAAATAGACCGTCCGCTCGGAGGAGAAACTGCCGCTTCCCGACATCGTCCGATAAAAAGACTTTCCTCGGTGCGCGTTTCCCCTCCCCCGATTGTCGCGGTTTGCACGTACTTGTTAGGAAACGATAGAACAAAAGGTGTTCGTCCCGCTCGATTCAGACATGTACGAATCCGAGCTGAACTAATTGATGCGAGTTGCGATTGTTTTTTCCCAGGACCCGTCACCCGATAACTCTCTTGTCAGCTCTCTGCCAAAAATAAACGGAAATATGGTATATGATCGTGCGATTTAATCCCACGATTAATCGCATTAGTTATTAATAAACTATCGAACTCGGTTACTGCGACGCGACTCTTATTTCGTTTGTTAAAAACGTTATCTAACGTTACAAGTATTTGCATGGAAGAATGTACATATTAACTGTTTCCAAAATAAGAATGAGTTCATATTTGGACTTTTTATCGAAGTTTTATTTATTTTATAAATCCATCGGAATCTGTTTTGAGACGCCTGTTGCGCCATCTTGTGATGGGATACCGTAGCGGTTTTGGCGCGCTTTTGCAGTAGAAATACTAGAAATCTCAACGGATCTTGCATAGGTTAACTTCTCTTGCGTAGCCAGATCCTTGCACACAGGGTCGTCACGGCCTGCAGTGAAGTCACATGAAGTTAAATACAAAATTGAGAACGCGATTTGAGAATACAGAAAAGAAATGGGTAGGCATACGCAAAATCGTAGCGAAGCTCTCGCGGGAGGGGCTGACACGTAACGGCAGGTTTCGTCAGATAATTTTAGACTGCAACGGATGTTTCGAATCAAAACCGAATGGCTCGGCCAGCCAGTCTTCAATACAACGGCTGTTTCGTGTCTCACGCATGATGCAGCATAATCCATTTTATCCTTGTTTAGCATTCAGTATACAAGAATAAAATAATGCACCATGCATAAAACGGGACGCACGCTGAGACTCGCAACTTGCATAGTTTCAAGTGGATGCATGTTATTTTTCGAAAAGCAGAAAGGTGATTGGTTAGGCTTTTGCTACGCGCGGGACGCGTCGGTCATCTCGACGGCGTCCATGCCGTCCATTACGGCGTCGCAAAAGCGCGCCAAAACTACGTTGCTCTAACAAAAGCACGCCAACTAGATATTTTTTTGCGGAATAAAACACCTTTCTACATATAATGCATTAACAAAGATCAGCAAGTGAAAGAAAATAGTGAGTTTCATGGGTTCTAAATTCACGTGAACATGAGATCATTCCTCGTTTTGAGAAATTTTTGGCCCTGAAAAGGGCCGATTGAAGAAAGAGGCACTTAAGCACGCTCCCCACGAATTCTGCGGGCTAACTGGATGTCCTTGGGCATGATGGTAACCCTCTTGGCGTGAATTGCGCAAAGATTGGTGTCCTCGAACAGTCCGACGAGGTAGGCCTCGCTCGCCTCCTGAAGAGCCATGACGGCCGAGCTCTGGAAGCGGAGGTCGGTCTTGAAATCCTGCGCGATTTCACGGACTAGTCGCTGGAACGGGAGTTTGCGGATGAGAAGCTCCGTGCTCTTCTGGTAACGAC